AAGTAAGATACTGGCTGAAACCATTACAATAGAAGTTTTGCAATTTTATCATTCATTATCTGCATTAACAATAATGATACATCTTTGGGTGGAAAGAACTTGAGTATATGTTTTGAACATGTGAGTTGTATGAAAATATTTAGGTTTATAAAGAATAAAACTGATATATCACCTTTTAAAAGCATATTTGTGTTATTGTGCTGCAGAATTTGCAAGTGGATTGCTTTTGTGTAGTCACATCCTAAAGTATAATTTTTAAGAATATGTGTATGAGGAGCTTCTCTCTGAAACTATTGAAATCTGAGGACAGGCAGTGCAAAGACCTCTGTGAGGGAAAATATGGTTAAAAGAGACCCTGCAGATGAGAATTTTCCTTATCACAGTGCAAAAAATGGATGAAAATCCCAGCAAAATAGGTGTGGTGAAAATAGTCTCTGGGAGTAAATTCTGCCATATTAATGTGCCATGAACTGCACAAGACAAAGTGAATTTTAGTCAAGAATATCTCTGCTAGGTTTGGTATCAGAGTGTAAAGGAGAAGAGTGCTGAGATCCTGTGATATCCCAAAGGTGTTACAAAAGGGGAACAATTGGTATAAATACAGGAATTCAACACCAGAAATAAGATACTGACCTAATCAGTGAAATGAGCATCAAAATCAGTCCTCATGCTAAAGATTTAAATCTGGCATATCAAACAGAGCACAAATATCTTCAGGAATATGCCAGGAGCTAATTGATTTAAGAAATCTGGCTGTCTATAGAGACCATTACTCATAGATAGCACGTTTTTCTGCCGCACAAATTATCTTCAGCACTCATGGTGTCTGCTCAGGGAAAAGTTTATTTTCATTCAGTCTTTTCTTTGCCCCTGACCTCAAAGGACTAATTAACCAAGTATTAGCATGTTTCTAAAATATGACTGAATTCATCTTCTTAAGAAAGTGTGCTGAAGAATGTCCCCTATTATTAGAAATGACAGGATGTATACAGGGCCATATGTTTTCAAAGGGCTTTCTGTCAGTGTTAATCAAAATGTTGGAGAACTTATGAACATACTGAGCAGCACGTCAACCATATGGATAATATCTCCCCTTTAATAGTGAGAATTTGAATTAATAATAAATACTGGAGAATAACCTAAAATGAGACAGAAACAATAATATTAAGACCAGTGAAGGCGTAATATGGCATCAGCCTGAAGACTCCTGGGTATTTTTATAAAAGTCTATTGTGTGTTAAATCCTGGTCATGGAACTACATTCATTAATTTTGCTTGGTTTAGCTTGGAAAGATAATTCCAAAGATGCAGTTTGTTTTTGCTGGGGCTTGTAGAGGACTTTGGCTCTTAGAACATTTTTTAACATGCGTCAGATCAGCTTGTCTGACTGTAGATGTAAATTCCTTATTGCAGAATATCTGTTTCTGAAAAGGCACCAGAACATTTGTTTGGTGACACACACGTGCACAAATCATTTCATGGGCTGTGCAAACAGCTGCAGGGATAAAAATAATAGTCTGTTTCTAAGTTGGAATCCATTGGAAAATGGATTGATATTATATTATTTTGAATAAACTTCCAAGGGTTCAACTTGACAAAATTACCTGCTTTTAAACATGATGAACTCTCTGAACTAAATGTTGAGAAATCTGCTTGAGAGAAAATGAATGTTTCAAGTGCTGTTATCTGCTTGTACATCACAGGCAGGAGTATATGAGAGATAAACCTATCAAAAATGAAAAAATAAGCAGTTATTAGGTAAACTAAGAAGTCCCACCTTGCAGTTACCTGTGAGGCCACAATCACATGCATTACAACTGACTGAAAATCCAGAGTTTTCTACTGAAGGGAGATCTGCAGCCTGAGCTGAGTCAGGACCAGGACAGGGCTCCATTCCCTGCTCTGATTATTGTGAATTCTCCCTCTACTCTCTGGGAATTGTACCTGCTCCTTGGCATTCCTCAGAGCTGCTGGGAGCCACTGAACACCAATGTGACATACACAGGAATTCAGGAGACAACCAGGAGGGTCTTTGAGCCTGTTACCCCAGCACCCCCAGACCCCAGCCTCAGCCCCTGGCCCCCCTGTCTGCCCCAGAGGCTGCACCTCTGCCTCAGCTGGTGACAGGATCCCTCTCAACTGGTAAAGTTTTATTTTCACAGGCACCAGTCCTGGTTTATTTCCCCCTTAGTTAAATGGGAAGCCACATTCAGGTCTTTGACTGATCACCCTGTGACATAAAGCCTTGAGCTGCCAGAAAGCACAATCCAGCCTCAGGGTGAGAACCTGAATCTTCTGACAGAGAGAGAGAGAGTGGAGGAAATGCAGCTTTAAGTTTTAGAAGCTTTATATTGAGGTATCCCTATTATACAGTGATGGGTTTTATTGGTAACTACGCCTCTACTCCACTGGTGTGAGGCCCCTCCTGGAGTGCTGTGCTCTGCTCTGGGGCTGCAGCATCTGGAAAATGTGGATCTCCAAGAGAAGAGAAGGCTCCAGGGAGACCTTATAGCACCTTCCAGTGCCTAAATGGGCTCCAAGAGAGGTGGAGAGGGACTTTTGTCAAGGGCATGGAGGGATAGGACAAGGAGGAACGGCTTCACACTGACAGAGGGCAGGGTTAGCTTAGGTATTGGAACAAAACTCTTTGCTCTGAGGGTGGAAAAACACCGGCACAGTTTGTTCTGAGAAGCTGTGGAAGTGTTCAAGGCCAGGCTTGAGAAACCTGGTCTAATGGAAGATGTCCCTGCCCATGACTGGAAGATTTGCACTAGATGGTTTTTGAGGTCTCTTCCAACCCAAAACATTCTGTGATTCTATGGTCTGCATCACTTTCCAGCTTAGGAGTATTTTACTCAAACATTTCTTTCCATTTCCACTTAGAGTCCATTCCTGCTTTCCACGTTCCTTTTTCTGAAGCTGGTTGAAAAGCACATTATTATTGATGGCACCTTCTGGCTGGTGGATGTTCTGGCACCTGCTCTTAGCTTTGTTTTTGGGGTAACCACAGAGGATCCTGTGACAAGGAGCAGAGTTCAGCCCTCCTTTCCTCTCTGCTATTCCATCAGCTCCTGCAATGTTGTGCCAGTGTTTTGCTACTCAACAGCCTGTGACCCTCCTGCAGATCTCAGAGGAGTTTCTCCTGCACCTGGAAGGAGTATCCACCTGCCATTTATTAGAAAATATGGATCAGCTTTTTTTTCCCCTGTTTCAGATGAAGTACCAGGACCCCTGCACATAATGGGTCACAAGCCTGTGTTTCACTATAAAACCTCCACTGCCAAGCAGCCAGGTGTGGAGGAAATGCAGCCTCTGCCTGACCTGTGAGGACACCAGACCTGCAGGGTATAACTGCTGTAGGGGCTTTGATTTTAAATGTCATTCACAGGGCAATCTCTCACCAAACTCTAATCCACCCCCTGCCCAGCTCTTGGGAGCCTCCTCCAGCAACACTGTTCTTGTGGCCAAAGATTTTAGCTTCCCAGGCCATTTTTGTTCCTAACTTCTCCTTTTTTCTTATAAACTGATCTTCAACAAAACACCACAAACTGCAGCCTCTCTTTCTGGAGGAGCAAAATTTTTCTCCTTCATGTGTTTCATTTTTTTTCAATCATACAATCATATAATTTTTAAGGTTAGAATTGTCCCTTAGAGGACATCTGGCCCAACCACCATAGACAGGGAGATCTTCCTCTAGATCAGGTTACTGAGAGCTCCATCCAGCCTGACCTTCAACACTTCCAGGGATGGGCATCCACCTCCACTCAGGACAAACTCTGTCAGTGTTTTAATACCCACATTGCTTCTGTGCTGGGGTTTTGATTGCCAGGCACAAACCTCAGAGGACTCTCTTACATTTTAGAAGACACTTGTCTGGTTCTTTTGCTCCTGTTGGGCAGCAGGCACAGTCAGCAGCAGCATCTGAACACCCCTGAGGCCAGGCCAACACCCCTGCTTGGTTCAACCTTCAGCTGCTCTCACCAGGCTGCATCAGTTGTGGTGGAAATTCTGCACAACTTATGAATCTTCACAGATGCCTGCTCTCTGGCGAGTCCCACGAGCCCTTAAATACTTGAAATACTTTACTTCTGCCACACAAACTACAAGGAAGAGTCCCAAAACTGGCATGTAGCTCCCAGCAGCCTTCTGTCTAGCAGATGTTCAGCTCTAGGAGTGTTGTGTGAGGCATTGTGCTGATACTGAAACTGATTCCTCTTGCCTGCAAATCACAAGACGAGGTGTTAAAACCTAAATAAATAAATAAAATATAAGCACTGGCTGAAAGGGAGAAGGGGTGGGGGAAGGAAAGATGCTTGCTAAAACTTCCAGGCACCCTGGCAATTAGTCTCACAATGGCATAATCCTGATGAGCTTTCACATCTGCTATTGCATTTGGTACATAGTGTTTGTTAGCATTTTACTCCATCTGCTTCTATACAACCTCCATCAGCTGAAGGAGGATATGGTTACTCCAGTCATTAAATGTTGATGATCTCTGTTGTTTGTGGTAGGTATCTGTTACATTAACTGTTAATTTTCCTCCTCACACTTAGAAATAAAGCCTCTTCCCTCACCAGCATCCAGGCATTTGCCAATAATAATAAACTGACAGCTCTTTATGAAGACGTCGACACCAGCATGACTTGCAAGTTCTGTGAAATATGTTGGTTAGTCTGAGCGGAATAAACAAATTCTTTCCTAGAATGGTATCCAACTCTTTAAATGCATTAACTTCTAGGGTTTACTGATCAACTGTCCCCCTTTAGAAGGGGTATCTCTTGTTTTCAGACAAAATCTACTCTTCTTCTAAAAGGAAGTCATATGCTTTCATTTTCCCTAGAGCCATTTAGTTACAGATTTAAGTGGATACATGTATTTTTCATTCTTTGCCTTTCCCTTTTGCCAACAATGCCTAACAGACTATGAAAAAGAGAATTAATTCATTATCCCAAGATATTCATGACCTTCTCTAATTCTGATTCTTGGACTGCAGGTCATTAGCAATCATTAATTTTTAAAGCTACGGATGATGTCCTCCGAAGCAGAGACCACATGAAATAAACAGATCTATTATTCCTATGGTACTGGGATAAAGTTTGGGAAGAGGTAAGTGTGTGGGAAAGCAGAATTTTGGCTGTGCAGAGAGGCATTGCCTCCCTTTGGGCAGCTGCAGCCTTGCTGCATGGCAGAACAGAACGTGTGAGGCACCTCTGCTGCTTAAGGGCAGACAATGTGTTCTCCTGCACCCTTCTACTCCTGCATCCAAGTGATTGTGACCTTCTACTCAGCTTTTTCCTCCTCACATCATGGTCAGAGAGAGCCTAAATCTGCCTGCAAGAGGTCCTGCCCGAAACACTTTTTGCCACATTTGAGTGTAGAACATTTTGTGGTTTTCCTTTTTCCTTCCTAAAAAATACACATACCTCTCCACCCTTAAGAGATAAACATGCCTGTTCTGCCCCAATAGTGACTTTCCTTTTGATGTTTCCACATAAGGATTAATCCACATTAATATGTAGTGCTCCTAACCTGCAGAAAGATAGGAAAGCTCACAGATATCTGTGTTAGCAGTCAAGCCATATGTCTTCCTAAAATTGTGATGTTGATTGTGACCTCAGAAGAAATCAAGCCTGCTTATGGCAAATATATGGAATTGATTAAATGAATAAATAACCCTATTATTTAGTTTTGCATAAAAATATGTGGAACCCAGGTCAAAGATAATCCCTAATTTTTCTATGCATAATAGATTCCAAAGTGTAAACATTTCCAGTAGTATGAACCAGACTGGATGCTTTAAGTCAACAGTCAAAGGTGCGAGTGTAAACTCAGAAATATTGATAATGTTTGTGAATAACTTCAGACTAAATTATGCTGGAGTTCCCCAGCTGATATGAGTTCCTCTGTTGTTTTAATACTCCAGTGTCTCTTATTTGCAGGAGTTCAAAGACTGACCACAGTTTCTCTAATATTTGACACCTCTGCTTCATTTTAGCACCTGTTTCTGTATCAAAATAGCAGATCTGATTTTCCTGTTCAAGTCTGTGCTGGGCAGTGTGTGCTGAGAAAGGTCCTGCTCCCAAGTGAGGGACCAAGGGGAAACAGGAGCACCTTCCTAAAAATAGCAGTACAAATGACTGTCTTGTCTGAAAACAAAGGCTGAAAACAAAGGCCAGGCACAGTGACATGCTGCCTGTTGTGGGTTGCATTGCATTTTGCTCATATTTTCCTCCACATGCCACAGGCTGAATTATGAATAAACCATGAAACTTTGATTTGTCTATTAAGCCACTGAGAGATCTCCAGTCAAATTCTCCACTTCTTGTATTAATTATGAGCATAATAGGTGCAAGACTAGCAGAGCACCTACAAATTACCCTGCTTGGAAGAATTCTGTTTGTGTTCCTTGCCAGACCCCGTTGTGCTGGGCTGCACATGAGACACAAACTGAGGAGTCCCATCTGCTTCCTGTTTGTGCACTCATCTCCAGCCCCACCCTCGCACTGTGATGCTGTGTTTGATGAAGTTCAGGTTTGAATCTGAGTGAACAAAGCAGCTCTTCACAGTTGGATCTTTAATCTGCTGCATGCACGGAGCAGCTCTGCCCTGATCCTGTTCTCAGCCTCTGGGGTGGGAGGCATCCAAAATCCACTGGAGCCACTGGGAGCCTTTCCATGGCCTGTGGCTGGTTTTTAGATCACTCAAATTCTCCATTTCTTCTGTGATGTACAGGGCTATCTCTGACCATCAAGGCAGAATAGAGATGGCAGAGGTCAAGAGCATCACCCACGTACTGAAAATGGAAGTGATTCCAAATAATAAACAGAAAATTATGACAGCAATGCCTGAGTGAGAACTGTTCAGGAGCAGTTTCACCCCCATTAAATTTACATTTAGGAATTGGCAAGAGATTAATGCATCCTAAACATTTGTCATAGCAAGTGATAAAATTGATGTTCAAGAATTTAGATTGACTAATGCATAGCTATTATGGCTATTTAACAGTTTCTTTAAATTCAGTTTTTAAATGTGATTTCATTTTTGTTTCAATCCAGTGCAATTTCAGGCAAAACTTTTTTAACTCTAATTTAATACATGCAAATATAATAATTATTTTCTGTAGACATTTGGACCATTTTAATTTACACAATTCTCCAATTAATGTAGTCATCCTGTATTTTGTAATGTAATCTATGTAATCTATGGTTTAGCTTTTTGCATCATCTCCTAGCAAATTTTGCTATGGTGTTTGGTCTGAAAAATGATGTGATTGGAATTATGTGTTTATAGTTCCCCAAAAATGTGCACTGTGGGCTTCACTGAAAAAAAACCAAAAAAACAAAAAAGAAAGAAAAAAGGAAAAAAAAAAGGAATCCAGGGTAAAGCTGAGAAACTGTTTTTGCTATCAGCAAAAATAAGCACTGCTTTGATATATTAACTCAGCCACTCCTCCACCAAAGATAGGATATTTACAAGGTATCTACATAAATACAATTTGTGTGGATGAAATACAACTCGATGTGTTTGTGAGGTGGATCAGATCCAAAACCCACTGAAGGCAATGAGAGAATACACTACACTGTATTTTATGCACATGGTTTCATAAATAAGGGCTGTGTAGGTGTGCAGGTGTGGAATGTATGCAGGAGCATCTGTCCTGCCTGTGCCCACATTCACAGCTACACCACATTTTACATTTTTGTATGCAGACAGTTTGTACACAGGGCTGGCATGATGTCACTGCAGGATATTTAAGCTTTGTTTGAACTTTACCTGCTGCCTGATGCATTTGGATTCTGTTTTCCATTATGCATGGTGCAGAGAGGGAAATGTGGAAGTTACAGGTTTGGTGTCAGGTGATTTCTGCTCTGCTGGGGAGAGGGGATAGGTGATTCCAAGATACTTTAAGGGGACAGGGCAGGAAGTCACTGCTTTGTTTGTTTGCCTCTTTTAGAAGTCAACAGGTCTGAAGGAATCACAGCACTTTGAAGCCACTGCCTGGGCATGAGAAGCAGCTGAGAACAGCTCAGGCTCCTCAGAGAGCTCCTGGCTGTGGAACCAACTGCAGCCTCTCCATCACCCTGGGGAGCCTTCAAAAAGCCCAGTAAGTGACCTCTTCAGAAAAGATCTGCATTGGCTTCTCCTTTCCCCCATACCACTGACACTCTATCCACACTGCTGTTCCCTTGCCTGTGTCATCACACCCACCTTCCAAGCTCGTGTTTTAGCCCTGGGAAGGCTTTGCTGGGGAAGGCAGCACACAGAGATGGGGGAGCTTGCAGCACCTTGGCTGCTTTGTGATAATTCCCCACGTGGACATGTCCTGTGCGTGTTAAAGAACCTCCTGCAGGCAGCACCCGTGGAGCTGAACGTGATGCCTTGCATGTCATTGAGCATTCCTTCCTGGACACAAGCTCTCTAACATCACCTCCATTAATAATACACAATTTTTAATTCTGTCTTTCTTGGGTTTTGGGGATTTTGAAGCAGAAAGCCCAGAAACAGGGATACAGATCAGCAGAGTGTTTATTGCCTGCCCAGTTTCCTGGAATACCTGGGAATTACCTGTGAGCTGGACACACACAACTCATCTATTACTCTGTGTTTCAATAAATGTATTTAAAATGCAGCTGAGTAAATGGGTCAGAAGGACTCCTTAAATCACCCAAGTCTGGAAACTTCTGTTGCTTTCAGTTATTTACTTTTTTGGTAGCAATTGTTGAGAGATAAATTAATATCAGATATAACAGCTTATGGTGCAAAGTTCCTCCAAATGAATTTTCTGAGGCAGTGAAATATATGTGATATTAATAGGTTTTTCTAGGTGGGATGATGCAATATCCAGTATGAGATCCTAAAACACCATTGATTGCTCTTCGTTGTGTTTTCCTGCATATAAATCACCACTGCTCCAAACACAACACATTAGAAGTTAAGAATAGTCCTAATCAATAATTTACCATGTTATTGATGATAGTTTTTGTAATGCAAACTTAATCCTTTGAAGTAATGTGTATAAGCCATTTGAGCAGCACATACAAAACCCTGTCTAATAATCAGTCTGCACAGAAGATAAAAACCCACTGCTGTAACCTTCAGGTCCTTTTGTCAGGTGCCAAATATCTCTTCTTAGAGAGCATTGGAATTTCTGGAGAGGATGAATGTGAGCAAATAGCCCCCCATAACCCCTGATGAGCACCTTGGGCCCCACTGAATACCTTGTTTTTTGTGGCATTTTACCCCTTGCCACAGAGAGGGATGAATATCCAGACTAGGGATGGCAAAGGTGTGTGTTTGCTGCAAGGTGAATGAGATCTCAGTGTAGCATTTGGGGGTCTCTCTGTGCAGGAGAGGAGGGAGAATGCTTGGCACTGCTAGCAAGGGAGCTGGAGTTTATTTGACTGAGCTCCCCTTTAGCAGGGGTAGGAGATGGAGGCACCAGACATCGCTGCCTCAGAGCTGCACTCTCTTCAGTATGCAATTATACCATCCCTAAAGGTAAATAGAAGGTTTGTCTGTGAGAAATATTCCTGTACAATATTTTGCAGCTGAAAAGATAACACTATTCCCTGCCTCTTACTTGGCTGTACAATTTTAATTATGTCAGGGAATCTCTCCTATTTTATATTCCATATATATTTATGGAATAAGCTGTTGGCAAATAGAACATTATTTCAAATAATTTAATGTATTTATTAAAAGAGATTACAAATCTATCCTGGCTATAGTCATTGCACTTAGGGCAACCATTATGGCTATATTATTGTTCCATTTATTTCAAAATATCTTTGGCAAGGACTGCTCCTCCATGAACATTGTAAGAAAGAGACTTTCTGCCTCATGATCTGCCCTCTTCTGTGGCAGAGGGCTTTGCTGTCTCCTTTTCCCTCCCTAAATTCAGAGTAGAGTCACAGCAGAAGAGGAAGAGCCTGATACACCCTGGCTCAGTGATTTTATTTATGGAACTCTGAGTTAGCCCACAACAGAACAGAGACACAAGAACAGCCCCAGAGAAGTCACTGAGAAGCTGCAGAGCTGCTGAGGGACATGGGGGTTCCTGTGCATCCCTCGAGGTCTGATGGAGGAATCCAAGAATGCCAAAAAGGCAGAGCAGTGTTCAGTGAACTGTGAGTGAACCCTGTGTCTTCAAAGTCCAAAATATTAATGTGAGAAGTTCCTGCCATGTCTCTAGAGCATCTCCCAAAGTGTCCCATGCAATTGCTGCCAATAACTGAGGTATCATTTGCTGTTTAGCCAATATCTAGAACTTTCTAGTGGATTTTTTCCAGCTTTCACGTGGAATGATTAAATAAATAACCATATATACTGAATTTATTCACGTGCAGTAGATTCTGGCTGCTGAGCTCCTCAGTGGATACATGTCTGAAGAAAAACATGGGTTAAGGAAGCTCCAGTGTGTGAGACCAGCAACACACAACACTTGTACACACCTGTGACTCCAGAGTCACTCCTGAGCCACCAGAGCCTTTCCAGGACCCTTTTCTCTGATAGGAAACAGTCCCAGCCCCATGAGCCACCAGAGTCCCACTCAGGGCACCACACTCTGCACCTCCAGTGGCTTCAATGAACTCATCAAGGTCATAAAATCAATCTGCTTTATGACTCTTAGCAGTATTATAGCTGTAACAATATTTTGGGTGCTTCTTGCCTTCCAGAATTGCTGCCACTGCCGCTTGTTTGACATCACGTAACCCGTAACACATTTTCTAGCTTTCCAACCTTTGAGCACAATGGATTAGAAAGGAGGTTAATTATGCATAAGATAGAAAGATTTATGTAAATATAAAACCAATATAATGTATTATTTACATACAGCCTGTACTTATCCTAAGTAACTTCTAGAGAAATCTTTGGCTATCATGAATAGCTCACACCTCATTTCTGAATCTTAGTCCAGAAAAGGTTGGAGGGTTCTGGCTTCCTTAAATTGCTCCTAATAATTTCTAGACTAGAGTGTGGACGTTTAAGAACATAACTCAAAACAGATGGACAACAAACAGGATAAATCTCTATCATTTATTACATTTGCCAAGCGATCAAAGGTGGCTAACTAGACATTTTCCTCATTGGTTGTTTGCATTAGATATGCATATCTTCTTTCTTGCAGAGCCATTTCCGAATATATTTGCAAGGCTATTGATGTCCATTACTTCACTTAAATATAGATCAGAAATACTGACAAATATTTTCATTCAAAGAGTTTGATCATTTTCAGATTACTCTCCATGCTAGTAATTAACCTCAGTCAACACCCTTCCATAGCACTTTCAAACACAGTTCCTAGCAAACATAAAGTTTCATAAATATGTACTAAATAACCTTAAAGCCCTTTATGAATAATTATGAGTTTTTAAGTTTTTGTGAATCTGCATATTAATTCCTTTCCATAAATAATACATGAAGCAAAAATCCAGCTTGTTTGGTGTCTGGGGACAGAGGAAGAAAGGGAGGGGATAATTATCAGTTTAATGTGGGAAAATACTTAACCTGAAAGATTATCTTCAAAAACTGATGACTCCATAGGTTTGTGTATATGTGTGTATAAACACACATGTATAAAATATATATGTAGAGATGTGTATAGCTGCAGACACAGCAGAGATGTGCCTCCTCTCTGAAAGAATGCTCTCGTTTGAAGCGTGTTACGCTTCTGTCTCTGCTGTGCCATGCTGAGCTCTTTAAGTGAAAAGCAATGTGCTGAGCTTAGCCCCTCTTTTTATAAATGTGCCTTCCCCCAAAGGTAGAAAATTAATGAGAGGCTGCTGACTAAAATTACTACATTTTGCCTTCCGTGGGACATTATGGATTTAAAAGATAAGAGAGAGTGCAGCAAGTCCAAAAACAATTTCATTTCATTAATCCTTTAAGTGCCTCGGGATGAGCAGCCCCTGTCCAGCAAAGGTGGTGTTACAGCAGCTTTTGCTTTGCCTCCTGCACGTCACCTGAGCCTTGTGAGCTCTGCTTCTCGCCTTGGGATGGAAGGCATCCAATAAAAAATGGAGTGGGAATGATATATGGCTGAATGCTCTTAGAGTGACACTTCCTGGATGCACACTGGCAATAATGGGAAACGTAAGGGGTTTGCAGAGCCAGCCTGCTGATCAAGCAGGGTTTGGAGCTGGGTATTGTGGGGTTTTTTCTCAATCTGTGCTTATGGTAAAGAAAATGTATTTTCTGGTCCAGTGTTCTTTTGTTTCTAGATGTGGCTGGAAAATCAGTACAGAATTTGGGTACTCAAACCAGAATTTGTTTGTGTGAAACTCTGTACCCCACTGCCATTCAGAGTTTATAGAATCTTTTGAAAGGAAAGGATCACATTCAAATTTTACATGTTTAAATAAAGAACTCCATTTGGTTGTTTCCATATTAATCCACCTACAAAATGGAAATAGATTTTGCTTCTCACTTCAAGTCCTTCAGATCTATTTCATTTCATGGTCCCGTTCAGTGGCTGGCTTGAAGCATGAAAGGCAGTATTTAAACATATTAATTAAAACGAGCCACTAAATAGCAAACCTGTTCTCTTGGATTTAGTACAAACAAAAAGGAAAAAAGAAGGAAAACTGAAGTGATACAAGAATTTTGAGAGCTGTAGGTGCTTTGCTGTCGCTGTTTTCTCGTGCTGCAGCACCAGAAAGGGTTACACCACAGGGGTACCACCTCGTTCTGCAGAGTGGGTGGCACAGAAGCTGCCTAGGAAGAGTGTTAGACACTAAGTGATGGGAGCTGGTAGCACAGGAGTTTGGCCTAGAGCCTCAAGAGACAGCTTCCAGCCTATCCCAGCCCATGGATGAGTCCTCCTGTGAATCTCTGCACCTCTTCCCCCAAGCAGGAGCATCCTCCAGGCTGCAGCAGCGTCCTTGGCAGCTGGGTGACCCCTCTGGAAAAGAGCAGTGCCAGGGCTCTCTGCCCCTCACTCAAAGTCACCTGTGGCAGCAAAGCTCTGCTGTTTAACCTGTTTAAAACAACTCCATCAGCTTGGCTATGCAGCCAGTAATTAAAATGATTAGGTGAGTGGCTGTACCACCATATCAGGAAAGTTGAATGCTGAAAAACAGGGGAATTGAGGCCACCCTGCAGCCACAGCAGAACATGTACACACACAGATCACCCTACTCCATGGAGATCACCATGGAAATCACCATACTCCACTCTTACACCAGCCTTTGCTTTTTTGTGTTAACAGAAGTAGAGGAAAAAGGACACCCTGCAGAAGTGGTTGAATCAAAAGCTCAACCTGAAGCTGCTCCAAAACCTTCTGCAAGTGAGAGAGGGACTTGTAGAAGTTTTAATGGTGGTGTGTCTCTTCACTGAAAGCCTGTTAATTAATCATAGACTCAGCTGGAAATAGTTTCTGTAAAAAAAAATATGGAGCAGCCCAAATTTGTTTTTGATTAGACATGGGACAGAGATTTGAATGAAGTCTTTTAAAGGCCGCTATTACAGTTGTTTGGGAATCTGTCTCCCTGGTAAACTGAGAGGTCATTAGGAATTTATAAATTAACTATTTTTATTGCCCAGGGTGAAAAAAAAACCCAGCCATGATATATTTAATTGTTGTTGCTGTGTCTCATGGAAAGGAAGACATCTTGTCTGTGAAGTGCTTTGTGTGGACCCAAACCTGTTGATGAATAGTTTAAGCTAATTCTTCTGAGTGCTGGACCCATAAATTCATAGACTTTAGTATGAACTCAGCAGCAGCCTATGTTATTGGTTAAACTATTTTCATCTCAAACCCACCCTAAATCCCCAACAAAAATAGTAGGCCAGATGCCCAGACTGCAGCTAGAGACCCTCATTAGGCATCATTTGCATCCTATTAACCACTGAGCTGTGGGTCATTCGCTGCCTGTCAACCATTCAAGTCATTTCTTTTGTGTTAATTAGTAGAGAAATAAGGAGTTAATGAAGATCTTATGATCTGTGATGATTTATCTTTGTTGTTTCAAATGAATCCCTGCTCTCTGAGCACTCCAATGAGCTCCTACACACCAAATAATACAAAACTAGTCAGAGGGAGCTTACAGCAGCCTTTGGAGTGTTGTTCTCCAGGGACCTTTTGCATGGTGGGCTTTGTTAGCTAAAGATTAGAAGGAGTTAATTGCTTCAAGATTGCTGGCAGATTAGGTTACAGGGTGTGCTGTATCTATGTAAGCATATGTCAGGTCTAGTTAAAAGATAGAAGATGCTTATTTTAATAAAAGTATGAAAGCAAGAAGTAATTTGTCATTATAGCAAAAATCTTACTTCTACTCGTAGTTTGAGCACTTGCTGATAAATGGAGTCTTCTCAAAAGTGGAGAGAGCACAGCTCTCTGCCTGACTGCATGGTTTCCCAGGCTTTTGGCAGGCTTTTTCCAGATTTTTCCCAGGCTTTTTCCATCCCTGTTCGAGGAGGGCAGAACAAGGACACCGTGGACTGCCCACATCTCCCATGGCCCCTCTTCCTCTCACTGAGGGGATGAGGGCTCATGAGCCAAACGAGTGGTTTGTTAACCCACCCCCCAGAAAACCTTTTCCTGAAATCTCATAGTCCAAAATCCCAAACACCTGGGATCTGCAGCTTCACATTGCTCACACTGACATGGAAATATCACTTCCACAGGGCCTGATTTGCTCCTGCTCCAACAAAGAGAAGAAACTCCAACAACCTGAGGTGAGCATATTCAGGTTTGCTCTCTCTTTGGTGGCCACTGATCCCTGTCACTCTAGGGGGTTGCTGGTGCAAGACTTTCCCAGGCAGATACCATTGGTCCTAGAGATGGCTGGAAACTCCTTTTTTCCAGACTTTTAATTTTTTAAAAAAAAAACAAAACCAAAAACCTTCCCCAAAGGAATTTCCACAAGACTTGGAGAAGAAACTCTTCCACAAGCACATCAGCTCTGATGCTCAGGGGTATTTATTTTTCCAATGGGCAAATAAATTTGAAAGTTTTGTTTCTTTGTCTCCTATTTGCTTCCTGTGGATGGAGCAGAGACAATGGATCAAGAACCAGGTTGGAATGGCTGGAAATGTTAAAGCAGCTTCTCTCTCCAGTGCTTTGCTGCAGGCTGCTACTTCCAACACCAGGAGCGCTGGACCGTGCACAGACCTTGATCATTTGTGACCTGGATGTACACTAAAGTAAACCCAAAATATAATATTCTGGGCTTTAGACCAAAGTAGGTCAATAAAAATCAGAATTCTGATGTGGAGGAGAGCTGCTGCTTGTCTTGCCCTGCTGGCAAGAGCAATAACTTCTGGACAGAGGCTGAAGTGCTCCATATATTGATTTTGTGCAGAGCCTCTGCTGAAGTTCTCAGCATCATCCTGAAGGCATCAGGAGCTGCTTCAGGACAAGAGATAATTGGTCCTCATCTTCCTACTTGCTCGATCTATGATTGGTACTTCTGCTCTTCCAGGAAATTTAATTCTATTTAAATTTTAAAAATAATAATAAAAAAACAAAACAACCCTGAAATTAATTATTTAGGTTCACCAAATATTTTGAAAGTTTTTATTTAGACCTTTTTTTTCCCCCCTGTACATCTATTGGGTAGAAAATAAAATTAATTATTTGTTCAGCACTACATTAAAGTGCCTATGAATGATGAGGTTTGTTTTAGCAATGAAGAATATCCTGAAAGAGCTCAGGATCTGTCTGAAAAAAAACCACCACTCTTCTCTGATTTAGCTGTCATAGTGCATCAGTTAGAAATGACCATTTTCTTGCCTGTGAAGAAATACTGTGCAAATTACAAAGATATATCTGGTGAGCACTTTTTTTACAAACTGTTCTGAAAATTATATGTAATTCATGTCTTCCTGGCTGTAAGAAGGAAAAAAACAGAGTCAGATATTTGGCTTATCTAAGTCTTTTCCTCATTTCATAGGTAAAGGGCTGGGGAGGGGAGGCAGGAGAGCAGCAGAGCTCATCCCATCCCCCAGCAGCTGGAGCTGGACACAGGTCCAGGCATCCCTGTGCACTGCAACTTCCATTGCTCGGGATGAAGAGAGGTTTTTCACCCTTTAGTTGTTAAAGGGAAAAAGATCCTACCTTGCCCCCACACTCAAGAGGAAAAAAGGACAGCTAGGGTGATAAGGGAAAGGTGGCTGTGCCTCTTGTGCAGCTTCAGAGAGCAGGAGAGGATGGGGATGTAATTGCAGGTGGATTGATGGGAGGAATCGGGGAGAGAGCAGGGGATGGGCTGGGGATGGGGATGCAGCTGTAACACAGAGCCCAGCTCCTCTCCAAAGACCCACAGCTAAAGCCAAGCAAGCACAGGGCCACTGTGTGAGCATCCCTTAAGCCTAGCCCAGGTTTCACTGCCTGCAGCAGCAGAGTGACAGCTACAGTGATTTTTTTCTTCTCCCGCGACATCAGTCGGAAAGAGCCGGCTTTTGTGTGGGGGCAGGAGTGGGGGAAGAGGCACAGAGAGAGAAGAGGGGAAAAAAAAATAAGCAGAAGTAATTTATTCGGGATCTTTGAGAGGATAATAGCCAATTATTTGTTTATAACACTGGTTAAATTTTCATTAGGCAGATTAATGGAATATCATGTACTGTCAACATTGGACTGAGGGGTGGTCTGTAAGAGATAAACGGGCAAACAGTCGATGTGTCTCCCTGAGTAAATTAGTTTTTGCTTTCCTGTTTTTCATATGAAAATGGAAAGGTGGACAAGGTGGTGCATTTTAAAACAGGTCTCAAGATGGGCCAAATCAGTTAAATATGAAAGCAATTCTGGTAATAAATACATTATAATAACTTAGCATCGTGCCTATCATTTTGATTTCATGAAAGTCTGGGATAATGTAGATTTTTAACCTGCTCTCTTAATACACATTTCCTCTTCCTGAACTTCAGCTTTTCTTGCTGTGAGGTGAAAGCATATTACTTTTTTTTGCCTGATTTTTCTGTGTAATCTGTTCAGTATTACAGCTGGTAAGTGCTAGAGGCTCACAGCTCTTTCTTGTGAATTCTGGTATTATCATACTGGATAGCATGAGCAGTCCCCTCTAAGTACTGTATTATCAGCATCAGAACCCCTGAGTGGTTATGGTTGCATATCCTCCTCTTTTGAAGTCAGAATATTTCTTAACACATTAGCCTGGGATTTTCAGACAAGCCTGGGAGAGGTAGACACCCAAAATTCAGTGGGAGTCCATTTAGCCTCTTGGAAAATCCCAAGACATTTCCTGGAGAAGCGTCATCACCTTGATTTGACTTCAGAGCCCTGCCCTACTCCTCTCTGTGCTTCGTGGGCAGGTGGAGAGGAGAGGTCCTCTCCAGTGAGCACAGCAGCTTTAAAAGATTCCCAAAACATTTCATGCAGACTTGACCATTACTGATTACAGAGCACAAGACCAGCCTCTTGCTATAAGGAATGGCAAAATATTTATTTCTGATGATGCATTATAATGGCACTGCTGCATAAGTTTCATTCACAGACAGCACTTGGTGACATTTAGGTCACAAGTCTGCACCATTCTGAGGCTATGCAATGATGCCAAGAATAATATTCATTCTTATGCTTCTTAAAATGGCAGTTTTAATATCCATCTCTAGAAAAAATGACCTGATACTTTGCTTACAAAATCCCCAATTCCCTTTGTCCCGTGTAAATCTTGGATTCCTCCAGGAGGAAGCCTCTAATAACACCCCTGAGTAGTGGGAGATCAGAAGAGATCCCTGACAGCAATGCCCTATGAACTGTGCCAAGTTCTCTCAGGAAGTATATTTTCTAGTTTCTGTTCCCCTTTTGACTGGAAGTTGTGGCTGTGATCTACGCTGGAATCTTTTAGGAGTTAAAATGTTGCAAGCAAAGTTATGGACATCTATAATGAATGGGATTATCTGTACCACTCATCAGTGCAGAAAGAATAGCACTAATAATGCAAGTAAATTCTCATCTTGCAGATGTTTCTCTGTTTCATCTTGGAAGTGAATCTGTGCACTCATAAATCTTGCTTTGGTTTAGAACCAAAGAAAGAATTAGCATTCTAGCAAGTCCTCTCCATGGAGTGACATTCATCATTTTCAATGTAAACTAAATGTTGCAGGAACTGATAGGCTTCATTTTAATTTTATGAGTTTAAAAGATATGTGAGTTTGGAGGGAAAAAAAAAAAAAAAGAAAAAGAAAAAGATAATTAGTGTGTACATGTTTTAAAGTGTTGCAAAGTATGAAGCCCATCCTGCAAAGAATTCCTCAGAGGCATGGTAGCAACAAGCAAAGGTTTTACTCCAAAACTGCCAGCAGCAGTTGTGTTAGAGTTCCATTGAAGAAAAATATTTGCTAAGAAAGGAATCAATTCTCCCCCTGTATCCAGAGGTTCTCCATTTATGTGAATGGGAGCTATGCACATGTGTATATTGGAGGTATCTGTTTTCCTAACAAACAGTCCAGATGATCATAAAGGTTTTGTGGAATATTTATCTTTTCTTTGCTTGCTGTGAGCCAGACTTCTCTCACAAGGGGTATAATTAGCAAAAGCATCAAAACAGACATTTTCAACAAGAGCCCTTCATTTCCACAGCATTCTTACCAAACCATCCATTTTGGGGGGGAAAAAAATTAAAAATCCCATCCTTAAGGGTGAGAGTGAGTCAATTTGTCCACACAGATATCTGCCATGTCAGAGGATGGCAAATTTCCACCTCCTCCAATGAACAGGTCTGCTTTCACTGAAGGAAGTCTGACCCCCTATTAACTATAAAAGGAGCCTCAGTTTAGTTGGGGTTTTTAATCATGTTAATGCAATTTATCTACCGCATAGGGAGACTAATCTCCACATTTCAATACATTAGTTAAAATGAGGTGGTCTCTGTACCATTCTGGGATTAGCAAATGTACCAGGACATGCCTTTTTCCTCGGATGCAATTTTCTCCTTTCAGGCCAACATCATTAGTGCTCCTTACCTGCAGTACTCAAAATAACCAGCAACAAACTGTTTGGTAGCTGAGTCTTTTAAAGGAAACTAAATCAGTTAGGCTCCCAAATCCCATCAAAGGACAGTTGTGCCTCATCAATCTTATATCCCTTTGGAAATCCCAACATTAATTCATTCAAAAGGATCAAATATGTCCTGTAAAACAAGAGCCTCAGTGGTTGTTCTGATAGCAGAACAGAGAGAATAAAGTTATTTTCCAGTGAGTCCCAGAATATTTTCCTTTGGAAACAGCCTTGTGTGATCTCCTAGTGTGCTATCATACGTTAAGTTCATTTAAAACAACTGATAATATCCTGAGACTCGCAGATAACATCTCTCCTTCCAGTTATATTCGAGCCTCTGATGGCCAAATTTGGCCAACTCAGTTTTAAATACAACACCTAGAATGTTAACAAAATATGTTTCACGGGGCTGGTAAAGTGGCTGCTTTTTATTTCAAAGCTGTTGACTTCAAAGGCTGCTTGGATTGTGTGTGTGTGTGTGTGTTTTCTTTTAAAAATCTTCATACTGTTTCTATCTTTTTTTCTCACTATCAAATAGATCATTACATTTTCAACACTTAAGGACAAAAACTCTTCTCTTAGATCTGTGCTGCAGATCTTGACAGTAATATTCAGCTCTTCCCCACATGCAGGGAACTCCTGTTGACATCAAGGAGAGAAACAGAGACATGTGCAGGTAGGTCTGAGGAGGCTGTGCTGAGACCCTCTGGCCAAGGTCTGC